CTCACTACTCCAGTCAGTCCCGATGTACAGGACTTAGCCAGGTATCTCTAGCACAGAACTGGAATAGTGAGCAGTCGGTCGGCACTTGTCTCCCTCCAGCTACTGGACCCGAGAAAAACCCTCATGGTCTCTGCTCCTGTAGTAATCACTCCCTAGGAAACCCTGTGGACACTGTCCTATAGGTGTGCTATGAATCAGAATCCACCTGACAGCGCACACACACCCACACACACAACAACAACAATCTGATTTGATTAGCTCAGTCGCTAATCAACCTTATTGATGAACTCTATTCTGGACCTCACGCCTGCAGCAATTCCATGAGTAATAATACAAGGTTTTCCTACCTAAAAATGGGTTTCAACAGATCTTAGAAGGCAATTTTCCCATTGTAACAATTATACATAAATGCCCATCCAATTCTTTGAAACCCTCCAAGAATAAATACTACCACAAAACAGATGTGCTCAGCCTTCCCCTGTTCTACTGCTACAAGCAAGGAGCCCAGGGGTCCAGTGGCTGAAGCACCAGGCTGCTACTTGGAAGGCCAGTGGTTCGAGCATTGAACTCACTGGTCGCTCAGGCCGAGAGCGGCAGTCTGTTCCCATAAACATTAAAGAAACACAGCCAACCCCACTGAGGACGAGTCCATCCCAGCTTTGCATGAAGATCTGCAGCTCTGGAAACCCAACGGGGGCAGTTCTGCTTTGTCCTACCGTGTTGCCATGAGCCAGGATCAGCTTGACAACAGTGTGGGGTGAAGGGGATTTGTTCAAGCAGCTTCCCTGCTAGGTGAGGCAGAATCCTGGCATGCTTGCTGTTGGATTTGATCTTAAACTAGCACAGATCTGCACTTCGACTGTGAGCCACCCTTGTGCACATGTGTGAAGAAAGGGTCTTCTGAGAAATGACTGCTCTCTGGACTGTGGGTGGGACTTTGAGAAGGGGAGAAGGACAGGGGAAGACGAGGAGCCAAGAATAGCCAGATTCCTTATTTGGAGAAAGTTATTAAGACAGTAGAAATGCTCAGGAAAAACTGAGCCAGTCTGTACCCTTTCACAAAGGAGGGGGAAAGAAAAACACCTTGAGCTGATTTTGAAAACAGATTCACTTCGAACGCCTCTCCCACCACCTTTCCTCTGCACACACCAGGGACGGGGAGGGACAGAGTTCACGGAGGGCTTAGGAAACTAAACAGATTATTTTGAACATGTCGTTGTTTTAGGTGCCACTGAGTCGGTTCTGAGCCACAGTGACCGTGGACACAACATAACGTGCACGGCCCGGTCCTGTGCCAGCCTCACAAGTGTCCCTCTGCTTCAGCCAAGTGTCACAGCCATGGTGTCAACCCATCTCCTTGAGGGGCTTCCTCTCCTTCGCTGCCCCTCTCCCGTACTGTGGTAGTTGCCATATATGATTTTGTGTCAACTTGAAGATATGACAGTGTAGGGGTGGAGTCTAGACTGTCACTCAGGTCACAGCCTGATGGAGCCTCCCTGTGGGCGTGGCCTCCTCAGAAGGAGGGCCCTGGCAATCCCCCCTTTCTTTCTGCCTTCACCTTCTTGCTGGCTGACCCTGGTTGCCCTCAGAGCCCTGGGATGAGTCCACCTCCACTGGAACCACATGCCTTGCACCCACCAACTGGTGATATTCTTGCGTCGTGCATCATTGTTTGTGACTGCGTGAGCCTCAGGAGGGACATAGGACTAGTCTCGGACGTCTGGACAGGAGTTGGACTGGGCAGGGCTGTTTTCTTGATACAGAGCTCTCTCTGACACACACACGGGGTCACTGGAGTGGCTTCTCTCATCAACCCGGCCTCACACAGGGGGCCACGAGGCTGGGCTCCTACTCATGGCAACTTCTCATGTGCAGACTGCAACTGCTTCATACAGGTTTCACGGCTGCGACCTTCTGGAAACAGACCCCTGGCCTGTCTTTCCAAAGTCTTTGGGTGGTTTCAACCACCAACTTTTTGGCTGGTGATCATGTGAATCATAGGTGTCAACTGAGGACCCCTTCCATGTGTGTTTGTTTACAGCAAGGGCAACCAGCACATTCAGAATGACCTGTCTTGGTGAAGGTAGGAACCGTGTGCTCAGTTACGTCCCCAGCAAGACCTCTGTGTTGTGAGTGGCACCACGTTTACTCGCTGCCTCCAGTCAATGCCGACTCATAGCACCCCCTATGGGTTTCCAAGACTCTGTGTATCAAGCCCAGTCTGTTTCCAAAGGAGCTGCTGGTGGTTTTGAACTGCTGGATCACAGCCCAGTGTGTAACCACTACATCACTAGGGCTCCTGAAAGTGGCACAGTGGTGTCCTAAAAGACCAAGGTGCCATGCATCAGAAAAAGGA